CGCCAGGACCTCACAAAGACGAGCGGCTCGGCCCTTCTGCCACGGCCCCGCTCCGGGACTCGCCCTGAGGTCGGGTCGGCCGCGCCGGGACCCCGGTGGGCCGCGGAGGGGAAGAGGACTTCCTGCCTGGGCCCCCGCCCCGGGCCGCCCTCCGAGGGCTTCGACGCTGCCCGGCCCGGAGGGCTCCTCAGCCCCCACCAGCCCAGTCCTCGTCCCCCGCACCACACTCACCCTGAAAGGCGGTGAGATGCCCGCTGCCTGCAGCTCTTCGCTCCCCAGCTGGGACGAAGACCCTAAATCACCAGACTCCAGTTTAGTCAGGCCCGGCCTTGGCCCCGCCTTTCTCTGGTTAGACCTCTGCGTCAATCACCCGGCGTGGCCCCGCCCCTCCCGCAGTCCGGTCTCCCGGTTGGCTCAGAATGCCCTTCACTTTCAGGCCCCGCCCCCCTCCCTGGCACCCGGCCCCCTTCCGCAGGGCCCCGCCCCTCCCCCGGCTCACCCTCCCCACCCCCACTCCCCTCCACTGGGCGGCCCACCCCTCCCAGAAGTCTCAGACTTGGGACCAGCTCGCCGAAGCTTGCCCCGCCCCTGACCCAACACTTCGGGCCGTACAGCCAATCAAAGAGGCTAACTCTGCTCCCTGTCCCGAGGCGACCAATGTGTGAGACTGAGGATCCACCCCCCTCCCAGCTGAGAGCACACAACATAGTGTCCACGTGAGTCAGCTTCTTAAAGGAGACCACTCAGCCTTGCTAATTGCAGCAGCTGGGACTCATCAGCGTCATCAGCGTCACCAGGTGGCAGCTGAGGCCTAGCTTCCTGCTGTCCGAAGAGGCCCAGTGATGACAAATGAAAACAACAGGCTGTTTTCTAGACAATCCAGGTATCTAGGTGGTTAAAATGAACTGGGTTATTTCTTTAGAGCACTTCCTCTGGTCACACCTTCGTCAGGGCTGTTTTATAAAGGTCGAGCCCTTTGAGTCTGAGCCCATAGGGATGCCTGAAAAACACCTGTGGGAAAAAGAATTTTTCAGGTGTACTCAACTTTTTATTTAGCACTCTCTGCGTTTTCTCTTCGTAGTGGAAATGATTCCCAGAAACGTGAGAAAATTCACGAACCAGGAATGGTGGCACAGGCCAGTAATCCCAGCTGTCTAGGAGGGTGAGGCAAGAGGATTACAAGTCCAAGCCCAGCCTGGGTAATTTAGTGAGGTCTTGTCTCAAAATTTAATGAAGAAAGAAAATGAATAAAGAGCTGGGGGTGAAGCCCAGTGCGGAGGCAGTGGGCTTAAACCCCTGTGGTGGAAAAAAAAAAAAAAGTGAGAAAAGTTAATGTCCACTACCACGGAGATTTTCCGCCTCCTAAGTATGGAATTTGTTAAAGGGGAGCTATTCCCTTAACCCTCACCAATGCTTAAAATAAAAGGTTTTGTTTCCCATGCCATTTGAATTTCCCTGGCAATTACATCTCTATTGGCTGATTTTCAAGGATAACACAAAAATATGGGGATGTTTGTTTCTTGTGAAAAATACAAACTAGCACTTGGAGTTAATTTGCAAGTTCCCTGTGGATAGAGATTCTGCAGCAGCGAATCCCAGCACTTGACCCCTCATCAACCCTGATTGTTTCTCTTTGTTTTTGAGACAAGGTCTCTCTTCACAGTTCAGGCTAGCCTTGAACTCTCTAAGTAGCCCAGCAGGCCTGGAACTCCAGTGATCCTCCTGCCTCAGCCCCCCCAAGTGCTGGAATTACAGGCATGCGCCACCATGTGGCCCTCATCAACCCTGACACACAAGTATTTTCATTCAGTTCCCATAAAGCTAATCTTAACGTCAAAGGTAAAAGGACTAGTTAAATTGTGATAAGTGGATGTTCTAAAACAAGAAAATTTTAAGCATTTTTTTCTTCCTGTTTATTCTTTGTTTTTATTTAGCTTTAATAATAAGAGCAACATGTTTATTGCAGGAAGGTCATGGTGCCTCCTTCCCTAACAGACACTTGGGCTTCACTAACAGCTTCATGTGGCCGGGCGTGGTGGCACACGCCTGTAATCCCAGCACTCAGGAGGATCGTTGCGAGTTCGAGGCAGGCCTGGGCTACAAAATGAGCTCAAGGCCAGCCTGAACTGCATAGCAAGACCCTGTCTCAAAAAGACAAAAACAAAACAAAACAAAAGCTTCATGTATATCCTCCAGTTCTTCCCAAAATGAATGTGCATGCGGGCATATTGTACCTGTGCTTTTCAACATCACGGTATGGAGACAAATGTAAATTTAATGACATCTTTTCTCCATAGTTGCTTTTATCTACACATTTATGCTTGTCTCCATAGTTTTGGTTTTTTTTTTTTTTTTTTG